ACTTGAGTCCTATTAATTGGTGATTGAGCAGACTCCCTGCTTGATACTCAGGTGATCCTCTGGCCCAGCAAAACTAAAACAAACAGACAAACAAAAACTGAGTACTTAGGGTTGCTAGGGTTGCTTATATGTGGATACAGGCGCCTGTGCATGCTCTAGCAGATTGGTATCAGATTTCTTTTACTTTCTATCTGAGTTGAGTCTGAGACATTAGAAAGAGTAAATATAGTCAAAGTCAAATGTAAAAACTCAAAAGTGATCATTTGGGGCCAGCCAGATGGCGTAATGTGTAAAGAGATTGGAGCCCACATGGGTGCTTGTGGTTCGAGTCCTGTATCCAGCTTTAATTTTAATTGGTTTCCCTTCTTATAGTCTACTGTAATTTATAAGAAACAAATTCTTGAGCCAAAGAAGTACAAGCATATTAGAAATCCATGTTTTTTTCAGAGCTGGCTCCGTGGCCAACCCCATTGCGCAAGTCCTGGACACATCTCACAGTTGTTATTTAAATTGGGTGAAAGGTAACATATACCTTAGAGAAAAAAAAGTCTGGAGAAAATATATGAAAACACTACATGCTTTAGAGTGATAGGATTATGGCTTTCTCCTTTTCTATATATTTGGATTATCTGAATATTCTAGTGAAACTTTGTTACACAGTATGAAAAATTATAAAAATAATAAGCTTACATAAATCTTATGGCAAGGGCTGACAGGTAGCGTGGTAGTTAAGGCATTGGACTCTCACACGGCTAACCATGGTTCAAATCCTGGACCTGGCGGCTTGCTTTCTTGCTTTCCCTCTTTCTCTCTCTCTCTTTCTGGTCAATTTAAATAAATCAATCAATAATACTTTTTTTAGTTTTAAATCTTACGGAGGGCCAAAATAATCCTTCCTAACTGAAATACTAAAATACCTAGTAAAGGGGATCAGCAGATGGCATATTGGTTACATCATTGGACTTTCACATAGTCAATCATGGTTCAAGTCCCAGACAGGGCAACTTAAAAAATAAAAAAAATGCCTGGCACACATGTGTGCATGCTCAAAATCCCAGACAGGAGAATGGAGGAGAAGGGATTGCAGCATGGCCATTGCCCTTAGGGGATGATTTCTCATTTTCTGTCTCTCCAGGGAGCATATGTGCCATATAGCCAAAATCTCTTTTAAAAAAATACCTAGTAAAGTTAATGTAGGAAACCAAGGCTTTTTTAAAAAAAAAAAAAATTATTTATTTAATTTTATTTGTTATTTTTTTAATTTGACAAAAAAAAAAAAAAAAAAACGGGAAAGTGAGAAAGCAAGCCACCAGGTCCAGGACTTGAACTATATTCAGCCACGTAGGACTCCAGCACCCTTAACTGCCACACCACCTGCTAGTCTCTACTCCCCTTTTTTTTATTTGCAAGAGGGTATATGCATTTTGGGGAGTGGGGAAGCAACCCCCTCATGGGGAATGGTCCTGCCATAATCCCTTCTCCATTTCTCCTTTCAGGATGTTGGGCATGCATAAACCTGGTATGTTTTTCTTTTTCTCTTTTTTTTATTTTTAAGAGATTTTCTGCTATAGGGCGTATGTGCTTGCCAGAGAGACAGAGCGAGTCAGAAAGTGAGAAATTACTCCCCAGGGGAGATGGCCATACCACATCCCTTCTCCATTCTCTTCTCCTGGCATGAGATTGAAGCCACTGGGTCTGGGACTTGAACCACAGTCAACTACATGGAAGTCCAGCAATGTAGCCATTATACCATCTTCTGGTCCCGCTTGGTATTTTTTCAAACTGCTGGGTCCATGTAGTCAGCCATGTGAGATCCAGCCACATTGACCACCATACCACCAGCTGACCCAGAAACCAAGGATTTTAAGTTCAATTGCTAGAAACATAGTAGATAGTGAACCAAAAAATCTCTATCATAATCTTTTTTAAAAGAATTATTTTACTTAAATTTATTTTAGTTTTAATTTTAATTTTAATGTGACCAGAGAGGGACATAGTGAGGGAGAAGAAGAGAAAGAGAGAAAAAGGGAAAGTGAGAAAGCAAGCTGCTAGATCCAGGACTCAAACCATGGTCAGCCATGTGGGAGTCCAGTGTCCAGTCCAGTCCAGTCCAGTCCACCACCATGGCACCTGCCGGCCCCAGATCTCTATCATAATCTATTAAACAGATTTAATCCCATACTCTGAAAAGTTTCATAATTTTAGCAAGGTGACACAAAAGAACAATAAAAAGTAACCAGTTTTTTTTTTCATCATTTTAATTTATATATATATTATATATTCATTATATTCTATATTAACTTATATATTCATTTATATATAAATATATATATTCATTCTTTGGCACAGAAAAGTGCTTCAGTAAAAGATGTTGCTTTTGGACCAGCAGATGGCGTACCAGTTACGTTTCTGGGCTCTCACATGATTGACCAGTTGAGTCCCAGACCTGGCAGCTTGAAACTCACACTAGGCATATGCACATGCCTGCCCAAGATCCCAGGAGGAGAAGAGATTGCAGAATGGCCATTCCCTGTGGGGGATGATTTCTCACTTTTCCTCTCACTGTCTCCGTCTGTCTCTTTCTGCGAGCCCTCACGTCCTAAGGCAAAAACCTCTTTTTTTTTTTTTTTTTTTTTTAAAGGGTGGGGACCAGCAGCTGGGGTAATGGCTATGTCTCTGGACTCCCATGTAGTCGATTGTGGTTCGAGTCCCAGACCCGGTAGCTCTAACTCATGCCAGCCGCTTGTGCATGCGTGCCCAAGATCCTGAGAGGAGAGTGGAGGAAAAGGGATTGCGGTGGGGTGATTTCTTGCTTTCTGTCTCTCCATCTGTCTCTGTCTTTCTGGCAAGCACACAAACCCTATAGTTAAAAAAAAAAAAAAAAAAAAAAGGTTACTACTCTGGATTCATCATCAGTTGGAAGTACATTTAGTACGTTTTTTCAGTGGTTGACGGGCTGGGTCTGTGACCTGGTGTTTAAGGCAGCAGATCCCACATGGCCAGCCACACTGAGTCCTGGACCCAGCAGCTTGAAGAAATGGCACATGCATGTGTGTGTGTGCCCAAAATCCTGAAAGGAGGGAGAGATGGAGAAAAAAGGTATCACACTGTGACCATTCCCCGTGAGCGTGCTGTTTCCTCTCCCTCTTTGTCTCTAACTAGCACATGCACCCTCTAGCAAAAAAAAAAAAGTTTTCCCAGTAGCAATAGTGAAGTTACGCAGATGCAAACAGCAACCCTTCTTTGGGCACATGCACGTGCCTCTTTCCTAGCTGTTTGGAGAGGAGGTTAGGTTCCAGGACATCGATAATTTTGGAAATCATGTTTATGTTACAGGTATTACCTGTCCTCTGTTTTTGCTAATTGCTTACAGTTTGTCTTTCCTATTTAATTTCAGACAAGCTATCTATGATGCATTTGAACGCTTCCTCCGTAAATACGCCAGCTAAGTGGATCACTAGACACAACCAGTATGGCCGTTATGTTTCTTAAGAAAGGAATTTTCATCCTATGATGGTGTAAAGAACAAGCAGACAGTGCTATATATCTAATTGCTATCATTTTGCCTGGAATTCAGTGTTACAGATCAGCCAACAATATACTTTACATACACTTGGGTGATTTTAAAACAGTATTTGAATTAAGTTATGATTAAGTATTTTGTTATTATTTGTGGAAATGCCATCTCTTCAATATCTAATCTGTTGTTACTATTTATGAAAACTTTAAGTTTTAAATTATGAATACTTACTAGTTTAAAATAAGTGTATTTATTGAAACCATATTGGTTTTAATAGTTATTAAATCAAACTAAGATTGTAATTTATCCTCCTGTACTGTATATGCTTTTATGACATTTCTCCTATTGACTTGAAAAACACATTTCTTTTTTGGATACCTAGTAAATTTATAATCTTGTTTTTAACGTTTGTTAATTTTCTGTCATGGAAATACAGTGTATAAAATCAGTGTTAACTTTGAATCCTAAAAAATCCCAGTTGCTTTGTAGATAAGTGCTTTTAAGAATTAAAGTGAGCATTGAAATGTAGATAACCATGCACTAGAGTGGCTAGACTTCAAAACATTGCCGAAGATAAGGTTGGAAAAAAGTGCCAAACATTTCCCCTACTTAAAAATGTCATCTCATGGGGCCGGTGGGCGCCATGATGGTTAGGGCAGCTGGACTCCCATGTGGCTGACCGCAGTTTGAGTCCTGAACCTGGCAGCTTGCTTTCTCACTTAAAAAAAAAAAAGTTGTCTCACAAAAAAAAAAAAAAAAAAAAAATTGTTCCACAAAAAAAAAAAAAAAAAAAAAAAAAATAATAGCCCTTTTACAATAGTCGATGGATACTGTGTCTGATGTTTTCTTTTTATGTTTACTCTTAGACTCTTAGATTTACTAAACGTCTAACGTGACTTTAGCCCAATGGCTTTTTAATTTCACAATTTAATAGCCACATGTGAAATTGATCCGTCCCATATAAACTTTATTTTACAGAAAAGGCTTAAAGTTTTGTATAAGAACTACTAACTTTTTTAAATGAGATATTATATGTTAGATGTGGTGCTTTCTCTTTATGTAAACTTCTCTCTAGCAGAGAACTAAAGTGTTAAAGAAAAAAATGGAAAATATTTTTGCGTACTGTATGAAGGTTTGGAATAAATGTGTTTGAGTTTTATTTGTTTGAAATCTTGTCTATGAATTATTTTTAAATATATATTCTAAGTTTAGCAAGGCTATTTACTTTATAATGAGCCTTTGCAGCCATTTCTTCCTTTCTTTCTCTGTTTCTTTCCTTCCTTCCTTCCTTCCTTCCTTCCTTCCTTCCTTCCTTCCTTCCTTCCTTTGAGAAGATTTAGCTATAGGGCGCGTGTGTTCACCAGAAAGACAGACAGAAAGCGAGAAATCATCCCCCAGGGAAGATGACCACACTGCAATCTCTTCTTTTCTATTCTCCTCTCAGGATATTGAGCACTCAGAACACACGGGCGGTGTGAGTTTAAGCTACCAGGTCTAGGACTCGAATCGTAGTCTCCTACATGGGAGTTCAGCGATATAGCCGTTAGGCCATCTGCTGGTCCCAACAGTCATTTATTTATTTATTTAAGATTCGATTTTGGGACCAGCAGGTGCCGTGGTGGTTAAGGCGCTAGACACTCCCATATGGCCGACCAGGGTTCAAGTCCTGAATCTGGTGGCTTGCTTTCTCACTTCCTCTCTCTCTGTCTCACCCTCTGTCTCTCTCTGGTCAAACTAAAAAATAATAATAATAATAAATGAATGAATAAATAAAATAAATAATTATTTAAAAATAAAAGATTCAATTTTTGGGGACCAGCAGTTAGCGTAATGGCTATGTCGCTGGACTCCCATGCAGTTGACCATGGTTCTCATCCCGGACCTGGTGGCTTAAACTCATGCCGGGTGCGTGTGTGTGCGTGCCCAAGATCCTGGGAGGAGAAGGGATTGTGCTGTGGCCATCCCCCCAGGGGGTCATTTGTCGCTTTCTGTCTCTCTGTCTATCTCCGTCTGTCTGGCGAGCACACGCGCCCTATAGCAAAAACCTCTTCAAAAAAAGAAAGATTTTATTTTTGCAGGACCAGCAGATGACATAGTGGTTTTGTCACTAGACTCCAACATGGCCAACCATGGTTTGAGTCCCGGACCTGGTGTCTTGAAACTCATGCCAGGGGCGTGTGCATATGTACTCAAGATCCTGGGAGGAGAATGGAGGAGAAAGGATTGCAGAATGACTATCCCCCCTGGGGAGTGATTTCTCACCTTCCCTCTCACTGTCTCTGTCTCTGTCTCTCTCCTCAGCAAGCGTACACACCCTAAGCAAAAACCTCTCCCCCAAAAAAGATTTATTTTTGCTATAGGGCCTGTGCACTCATCAGAGACAGAGAAAGACAGAAAGTGAGAAATCACCCCCAGGGGGGATGACCACACTGTAATTCCTTCTCCATTCTCCTCTCGGATTTTGGGAACATATGCACATATACCCAGCATGAATTTCAACCTGCTGCATCTGGGACTCAAACCTTGGTTGACCACTTGGGAATCCAGTGCCTTAACCACTATGCCACCTGCTGTGGCCCCTTACAGCCTTTCAAAAGGTGATTTTGTCCCTGCAGTCCTTCTTTTTCCATTGCCTTTTTTTTTTCCTTTAAGAATTATCTATGGGCACCAGCAGATGGCAGAATGGCTATGTCGCTGAATCTCCACATAGTCAACACTTTTAAATCCTGGACTCAGTGGCTTAAAACTCAGACCAGGCGCATGTGTGTGCTTTCCTACATGCCCAAGATCCAAAGAGGAGAAAGAAAGAGAAAGAATTGCAGCATGATCAACCCCCTGAGGGGGTGATTTCTCACTATCTGTCTGTCTCCCTCTGGTGAGCACACTCACCTAAGGCAAAAAAAAAAAAA